CTCTCTCTCTCTCTCTCTCTCTCCATAAAAGCAGATACAAATATATATTCAACCTACACTTTTGGTTTATCATTGCTTGAGCACATACTTCTTTTAGGTCTGACTTCGTGGGGTTGGCTAACCATTAGGGGAGCTCATCTTTGGTGAGACTACTTCTCCCTCTTGGGATGGGACCCCTGGCTGTTTCCCATCCACTTTGGAAACTGGTGTTGTCATTGTTCAGGTATTGTCTAAGTGGACATGCAGTGCATGTGAGTGAACACCCCTGCCCTAGAGGCACCACCATTTGGTGGTACTTAGCATGTGTAGTTCTGTTGTCATATCTAGAAACATTTGTCTAAAAGACTTTTTACCTCTGGATGATGTGTCTGTGTTTGGGTTTGTGCTTGGTTTGGATATATGCATGTGAGTACAGGTGTCCTCCTTGGAGGACAAAGGAGCTTAAGTTACAATTGATTATGAACAATTCAACATGGATACCCAGAACTGAACTTAGATCCTCTGCAAGAGCAGTGTGTTCTGTTAAGACTTTCAGGCATTGCTCCAGTCCTGTTTATTCAAGTCTTGAAAGTATTTGCTCACACATATAGGTGCTATGAAAAGTGATGATGTGAATACAGTGTGATTGTGAAGTGTGACACTGGTCTCTGTGAAGGACCTATAAAAGCCCTGAAAGTTTGTGAAAGGAAATGATAAAAAAATATTTTCCTGTTGAATGAAGGATTGCAGTCAAGGCATTCCATCTGAAAATGGGCAGGTAACATCGACAGATAATACACATGCTGGCTAAAACTGGACTTGTGTGAGACCTGGGAGCAGAGGCAGAGTTATGTTCAAGCTTGAGACTCTGAGCAGCATCAGAGTTAGGCCAGAACTTCAGGCCCAGAGCAGTGTCAGGGGAGCCACAAGCCTAAGACCCGGGAGCAGTGTCAGAGGGAGGCTGCAGCCTCAGGCCCAGATGCAAGGAGTGATCCCTGGGTGAAGCAACAGCAGCAATTTCCAGCAGTAGCTTCCAGAAACTATTGCAAAATGTTCCTCTGGCAAAGAGCACCTAAGTCCCAGCCAGCATCCACTACCATTTCTCGCTGGGAGACACTCTGCTATTACATTGACTACTGGACCCTCAGTCCCATCTACACCACCAATGGGAGGAGTGTTCACCAGAGCTGTGCCCCCATCTGCACCTCAAGGAGTGACCACCTGTGCATTGAGTCCACTTCTACCAGGAGGAACATTAGCCTGAAGCTCTACTCTACTTGTGCCCGAAGGAGCAGTCAATGGAGTCACAGCCCCCAACTGTACCAATTGGAGAAAGAGAGAACCCCTGAAGCACAAGCTCCACCTATACAGATTAGAAGAGGAGATGCTTAGTCAACAAGGTAAGAACACAGTCAACAATATAAAGAACAATAAGGCACCACTAGAAATAGTGGTGCTTCTGCAGCAAGACTGAACATCATAACACAGATCAAGTAGAATAAAATGACCTAAAATAACTTTATAAGGATGATTGAGGCCCTTAAAGAGAAAATGAAAAGTTCTCTTAAAGAGATTGAGGAAAATACAAACAAAATCATAGAAGAAAACTTTCCCAACCTAAAGAAGGACGAAGGACATGCCTATGAAACTACAAGAGGTTTATAGAACAAGTAGACTGGACAAAAAAGTCCCTTTGCTGCATAATAATCAAAACAATAAACATACAGAATAAAGAAAGAATATTAAGAGCTGCAAATGAGAAAGGCCAGGTTACCATATAAATGCAAACCTATCGAATAGTATATGCATACATATACAGGAGGATCACTTGAGCCTGGAGACAGTGAGACCACTTCTGTATCAATAGGCAGTTAGGTAGACAGACAGACAGTCAGACAGACAGACAGATGGACAGATGTTTTCATGGTTAGTGTAATTGTCTATTTGACAGAATCTAGACTCACCTGGGAGAGGGGTATCTGAGTATGTCTGTGGGGGATTATGTTGATTTAGTTCCTTGGTGTAGAATGATCCATTTTACCTGTGGGCATATTCCCTGGGCAGGGAATATTTACCTGCCAGGGATATTCCCTGGGCAGGGGATGCTGGACTCTACAAAATGAAGAGCTTAAAGCTAGTATACATTCATCACTTTCTGTTTCTCCCTGTGGATGCAAGGTGACCAGCTGTTTAAGGTTCCTACTTCCTTGACTTTCCCACAAGGATGGAGTACACCTTGAACTATGGGGCAAAATAAACCCTTTTTCTAAAAAAAACAATTAATGCAGACCTATCAGAATTACACCTGACTTCTCAATGGAAACAATGAAAACCAGAAGGTCCTGGTCAAATGTTATGCAGACTCTAAGGGACCATGGATGCCAGTCCAGACTGCTTTACACAGCAAAGCTTTCAATAACCGTAGATGGAGAAAACAAGATATTCCATGATAAAACCAAATTTAAACAATATCTATCCACAAACTCAGCCCTACAGAAAGAACTAGAAGGAAAACACCAACCCAAGAAAATCACCAAGTTTACAAGAACACAGGAAATAGATGAGCTTATGGCAGCAAACCCTAAAGAAGGGAATTGAACACACAATGTCATCACCAACAACAAAAATAAAAATAACAGGAACTAGGAATCATTGGTCATTAATATCCATTAATATAAATGGTCTCAATTCACCTATAAAAAGACACAGGATAACAGATTGGATATGAAAACAGAATCCATCCTTCTGCTGCATATAAGAAACACACCTCAAACTCATGGAAAGATATTACCTCAGAGTAAAGGGTTGGGAAAAAAATGTTCCAATCAAATGGACCTAGGAAACAAACTGGGGTGGCTATCCTAATACCTACCAACATAGACTTCATACTAAAATCAATAAAAAAAACATAAAGAAGGGCATTTCATATTCATCACAGGCAAAATCCATCAAAATGAAATCTCAATTCTGAACATCTATGCCCCAAACACAAGGGCTCCTGCATTTGTTAAAGAAACATTACTAAAACTTAAATCACAAATCAAGCCCCATACACTAATAGCAGGAGACTTCAACACCCCACTCTCACCACTGGACAGATCTGCTAGACAGAAGCTCAATAGAGAAATAAGGTAGCTAACAGAAGTTATGACTCAAATGGACTTAACAGACATCTATAAAACATTCCACCCAAACACAAAAGAATATATTTTCTTTCAGCACTTCATGGAACCTTCTTAAAAATAGATCACATACTCAGTAACAAAGCAAACCTCAACAGATAAAAAAATGGAATAAACCACTGTACCCTATCAGATAACCACAACTTAAAGTTAGAATTCAACAGAAAAATTAACGTCAGAAAGCCCACAAACACATGGAAACTGAACAATGATGAACTGAACAACCACTGGGTCAAGGAAGAAAGAAAGAAAGAAAAAAAGACTTCATAAAATTTAATGAAAATGACTTCACAAGATACCCAGACTCATGAGACACAAAGAAAGCAGTGCTGAGAGGAAAGTTCATAGCACTAAATGCCTACATAAAGAAGCTGGAAAAATCACTCAGAAGTGAATTAACAGAACAACTGAAAGTTCTAGAACAAAAAGAAGCAAACTCACCCAGAATGAGTAGACAGTAAGAAATAGTCAAATTAAGGGCTAAATCAATCAAATAGAAACAAAGAAAACAATGCAAAGAATCAATGAGACAAAGTGTTGGTTCTTTGAGAAATTCAACAAAATAGAAAACCTTATTCCTAACTAACCAAGAGACACATAGAGAATATCCAAATTAACAAAAGGGGGACATAAAAACAGACACTGAGGAAATCCAGAGAATCATCGGGTCATACTTCAGAAACCTGTACTCCACAAAATTGGAAAACTTTAAGGCGATGGACAATTTTCTAAACAAGTACCCTATACCAAAATTAAATCAGGAGTAGCTAAACAACACCTATAACCATTAAGGAAATAGAAACAGTTATCAATAGTAACCCAACCAAAAAGCTTAGGCCCAGATGGATTCAGTGCAGAATTCTACCAGATGTTCAAAGGGGTCACAAGGAACTGACTTATACTTCAGTGTGAGTGGGGATTCTGTGGTTAGAACCTGAAGTAAGGGATATCCTACTTGTCTTTCTCCTGCCCATCTCTTTCACTGTGGACTCCACATGAGGTGCATTGAAAACCACAGCCCTGGAGGCTTTCCAGCCTTCTTCCAATTCCATACACAGCTTTTCTGAACCAATGAAGACCATGCATGTGGCACTATTAGAATAAAGAGAATTTAATCATTCTTAAAGCATGATTTTTGTGTGGATTCAAAATATAGATCATTTGTGCCACATTGACCTGTCTAGTGCAACTTGACAATGAAGGTGAAGAAGGAATCACTGTGTATCTTATACAAAACCAGAGATCTATGAGTATTAGTGTAAAAAACACACTTCTAGCCTAGCATACCTTGGATCCCCCTGGTTCTCAAACTGCTATACCCCATGGTGCCAGCTAGGGGAGACAGAGTTTCCAGGCTGAGCCGAGGTTTTTGAGTGACTGGAGGTCTTGGCTGAGCCTCTTCCTGTAAGACTTGGGTTGGAACAGAGCTCAGCCAGCCTGGTCTAGGTGGGTAGGGTGTGTACCAGGTGACTGGCAGCCCATGTGTAGCTGGACTAAGAGTTGAGGAGATTGCAAGTGTTTGAAACTGAGCTGGGCAATGGGATGTAGGTGAGCCTGAGGCTATCAGAGGGATGTCTCACAACCTTCTAGACTGCACATGGTAACAGAGGAGCTTATACCATGCCCTGCAGGAGAGGGGACAGTCCTGGAAACAGGAAACTTATTCAATGGCATGGCCCATGGCCTTCTGAATTCCCAGAGTCAAATCTCCCTTCACTGGAATGCCTTGTTTGCTTTTCTCCAAAAAGTTGGGACTTGATGAAGGTAGCTTAGAGATGGTAGGGATTTCCTATCCCAGGGAGATTCATCTTTGGAGGGCTAAGTATGAAAAGGAGTGACTGAGTGCAGGACACTTCAGTAGAGCTGTAGATTCCAGCTTATGTTGTGAGATAGGCAACCTAGGAGAGTTGAGAATTAAAATTTGTATTTGGTTGGATATCATGGCACACACCTTTCATCCCAGCACTGCTCACCTGTACCTTGTATGGGTGATAAGTATGTGGGAATTGTCTAGGCTGAAGTTCCAGTAGGAGGAGTGGCTGGGGAAGAAGAAGGAAGCAAAGCCCAGACTGACATAAGAGGGCTGCCTGGACCAGAGAGGCACACACAGTAGTGGCTCCAACAATACAGGACTTCAGTTGTATTCACTGTGGAGATCCATTTATTGTAAATTTTCAGCTTTTGCAGCCCACTCCATGTGATTCTTGCCTGTGTCCAGATAAGTTGGTCAGACACAGCTGGCTTTTACTACCTGTTAGATGGGCTTCATGCTTCCTTTTATCCATTGCAGGAAAGACACGACTTTAGTGAAGGTTCCTAGAGAGATGCTCTTGTTTTTCCATAGGACACAATTCCATAAACTCTGTTGTCACATACAAGGGATCCTCCAGAATCACCCTGTGGACAGGGAAAGGAAGAACTGAGCCTGCTTCCCCTGGCTCTGCTCTCCCTACCTCCTCATGGGAAGATTAACTGTTAGGTCACAGCAGGGACAGGTTTTCAAATTCCCACAGTATCAGAGGTCCATGGAGGCCCGACTTTATCTTCTAGCTCAGTCCACAATTTCCCCTGTAGTCCTCATGGATGCTCTGGGGTAATTTATGCTGCTTTCAGGTGGTGGATGTTTCCAATCTTCCACTATTGCTAACCCAGGAAAGGTCACAAAGCTGGATTTTGGGATGTCACTTCTGTGATCTGAGGCTTGAGGGTTTGGCCATCATCATAACTATGCTTCTCCCAGATTCCTCTCTCCCTGCATTTTGTCTGTTAAATGCTTGAAATCACCTTGCAAGCAGCCTGGATTTTCTTCGGGTCTCCAGCACAAATCTGTGCGGTCTTGGAGTAGTGGTGGAAGCATGATGTGCATTTCTGGTCCTCCTGGATAATCAATATAGCCTCATGGAGGACAGCAGGTCCTCTAATTGCATTGAGAGATGTTGACCCCCAGCCAGCCAAGTGGCACACATGCCCTGGCTTCACCTGGGCATTGACCCTGGGCAGCGTGAGGGTCCTCACAGCTTTAGTCTTCTTGGCCTTCCTCTCTAGCCAATGGGTAAAGGCAGGAGAGAGCAGCTCAGCCAGGAACCTGCTGGCCTGGGACACTCTGAAAACCAGGATGGCAGGGAGGAAAAGCAGGAAGAGAGCAGGCAGGGAAGAGGAGCAAGTCCTGCAGCAAACAGAGAGCACAGGCACCAGGGGTGGTGTATGTGTGATAGGGGTGGCAGGTCTCACCTTTAAGAACATGATGTCATTGGAGTGGTCCTTAGGATTGTGGAATGGCTTTTGCCACAGGAATTATCTGCTGGGTCTCCTCCTGTGTTGTGACATCATGGGCTCCCAGACTGACTTTCATTGAGCTGTGAAGAAAGCAGGGTGGAGATGAGAGATGTGGAGTGAGAGAGGACACTATTTCAGAGCTGTAAAAGGGAGGGTTGTGTCTAGCATTGGGGATTTGAGGAGAGATGAGGGTCTCAGGGTTTAAGGCGCCTTTCTTTGCTTCTCAATGACTCCAGACACCTGGGGGCTCCTTCTTACTATTTGAAAGTTTGAGTTGACTCTTCCTGTGTAAGTTCAACCTCAACCAGTGCTTTAGTTTGGTCAGTGTAGTTACTTTCAACTCAAATGTGCTGCTGACTCTGACCTCTAACACTTTTGTCCAAAGTTTCCCTGTTATGATAAATCTTTCTGCCAAAGCTGCAGAGCCCTACCTCCACGTGAGCGGTCTCCGCCACCCGCCTGAGTACTGCCCACTGCATGGATGGAAAAAAATACAGAGACATATTAGGTACAATGCTGCTTGGCCAATGACTAGGATTCTCATCTGTTAGCTCAGTCTTAATTATCATACATCTATATATTTTATAAGACTTATCTTATCGGACGCCTTATTGGCGTCCCTCCTTGCCGGTGGATCACATTGCGCTGCTGGAGGAGGGAGGGAAAAGGGGGACATTTCCTGCTTCTCCTTGCTTATATGAGTCTTCTTGCTATGTCACTTCCTGCCTGGATCATCATTTCTCTACTACATTTCCCAGAATCCTCTTTGACTCCTAGTCCTGTCTAACTTGCTGTCTCATTGGCCAAACAGTATTTTATTCAATAATCAATAAGATAAACATACAAAGAAGTACATTCCCCATCATTTCCCTGTTTTCTGACTTCCATTTTCACAGTCCTGCCTTCTAGCAAGTTCTCACAGGAGCATCCACAAGTAGAGGATGGGCACTCCTGTTGGGGTCTCAGAAAATGTGGGCCTGCTGCCAGGCAGTGAGCAGCTGTCAACATGAAGTTGTCTCGCACCAGGAAGCCTCCACAGCACCTCTTATTCCCATAATCACACACAGACTGAATAAATGCCATGTGGGGGTAGGAGTGGGGCTTGAACTCATGACCCCCGATGATCTCCTCTGAAAGAAAAGACTAGAATATGGGGCGTCTGTGAGCAGTTAATGAGGTCAGGAGGGATGATCTGGGTAAGTGTGATTGCAATAGGATTCTCAGTTCCCAAGTCTGTTGTGAACAGAATTCCTTGCACACAGAATAATCTTTGTTGAATCTTAAGCCAAAGCCCTGCTCTGAGAAGGGGTGGGTAGCACTTGTACTTGAGTTCCTCTTTACAAATACTTGGGGGCGGGGAAGCTATATCTTCATGATTGTAGAGACCAAGGGGATCCTGTGTGACTTACCGTGGTCATTTTTTGTTAGTCTCCCAACCACACTAATGTCTTCATTGGTGCCATTTTCTCACCTTTTACCCAGAAACCCTATGGATGTGGGTCTTTTAAAATTCTCCTATTCTTTTGCCCAACATATCTTGTATTTCAGTAAATGTTTTTGGCTACACAAAAATAATGACTTTTTGTTAGCTGGAGGACAGGGGTTTCAGAGCTCATAAGTTGTAGAGCCTGGGGGACATTCGAGTGTGATGGCGAAAATGGGAATAGCTGGGGACCTCAGACAGATGTTGAGGGACCAACTAACATTAGACTGCAGACCTCATAGATGGACTGTGCAGAGCAGGCCTCTTGTCACCCTGTGCCTTTTTCTTCAGCAGGCTGAGGGTGGAGTATATTAAATAATGCTACTATTCTAGAGCTGGTGGCTTTACCCCGTTGCAGGCTGGTCATTAAAGCTGGCCTTCACTGGGCTCATGTAAAGTTAATGATGTAGTTTCATATATCTTTTCATTCACTGTATTGTTTTTCTCTAATGAATGGGCCACTCCCCAGGTGACAAAAAGAGCAGAAAGTATATAGTGTCCACTAAGTCTTCTGAGGACACCTCCCTTCCTCAGACCTTGTTGAAAACATAGCCAGTGACAGATTATCATGTGTGGGGTTGATAGGGGAACTGAGGTTCAGAAGGTTCCTGGTTCAGTGCAGGACAGTTCCTGACTAGAGCTGGGGAGAGAGTCCACAGAGGTATTATGAGTTGGCACCTCTGGGACAGGGGTGTTCACTCATGCATACCAGCTTCATGTGGCAGAAGAAAGATTAGGAGAATCAGGACATGTGGCATCTTCCCAGGGAGGCTGAACAGGTTGGAGGAGACCAGAGTAGACACAGCCCTTGAAGAGATGGAGGAGGTGAGTGCCCAGTGCCCTCGCAGGATTTTATACCTGTGCGCTCTTGCTTTTATTGGCTCTATTATTTAAGGATGTTTCCTAGTTTGGGTAAAATGACAGTGCCACCATATTGACATCTTTTGAACTAAGCTGGGGTTAAGGTCATGAAAAGAGGGTTTGTGTCATTGGTTGAGGTTGGCCTGAGACCCCAGGAAGTCCTCAGTGTCTGCATTGAACCAAAGTCTGTCCTCTTTTACCTTATATATCCATCATGTTTTAGTAAGTTCTCTATTTGTTCCTTTGGTTTCTTTCTATCTTTCCACTTTTAATAATACAGATAACAATTAATCATGAAACAAATTTATAGGATACTTAGTGAGACTTGATACAGAGCCATATTTGGCTAGGCAGAGTTTCAATACAGTATCTAATTAACCTCTGGGACTCAATCATACAGTGGAATCATCTGTTGGATTAGTCTGAATCTAGGATTTTATATAATGATCAGGGACCTTGATTAGATCTTGAATTGTTATTTAGAGGACTAGAACCAGGTGGGACACACAGGGATCCAGCCCTTGAAAAGGCTGGTATTGTCCCCACAGAGCTACTAGGGTTCCTGCTTTACCACCACAGCTTTATGACCTAGAGAGGCTTTCTTGTCTTCGTCATGAGCTGCAGTACTGATGTTAATTGGATCAGAATTAATCAACCAGTAGAGGGGTGTGTAACCTTTTGACCTTATCTGTCCACAGTGAAGGGATAACTGTTTTGGGATACACGTTACTCATATAAGCTGTGATGAAAGAAAATAATTTTTTCCCAGAAAAGGGACCGCATGCAAGTGACACAATATCTGTACATGCAGAGAACCAACAACATTCTTAGAGAATAAAATAATCTTAATTGCATGGTGCCGTTTCACGCAGAATCTTTCAAAACCATGGAGCAGGCTCCATGTTTATCATATTTAGAAAAGGGCTCTACGTGAGGTACATTGAAAACCACATCCTTGGAGGGCTTCCAACTTTCTTCCCTTTCCACACACTGCTTTCCTGAACCAAAGGAGATTTTGCATGGGGCACTATTAGAATATAGATAATTTAATCATTTTTAATTGTTACTGATTTGTGAATTCCAAATAGAGATCCATTTGTGCCACTTTGACCTGTCTAGTGAAATGAGAGAATAAGGTGAAATAGGAGTCTACCGTGTACATGATAGAAAACCAGCGATCTACAAGTATTGGTTGACGATTTCAAAGAGAGGCATCTAGCTTAGTATCTCTTGGATCCCCCTCGAGCACAAACTGCTATACACTATGGTGTCAGCTGTGGGGTTGGAACAGGGCTCAGCCAGCCTCCATAGGTGGGTGGGGTGAGCACCAGGTGACTGGCAGCCCGTGTTTAGCTGGACTAAGCTTTGAGATTGCAAGTGTTTGAAACTTACAGGTAGATGAGTGAAAGGCTGGTTTAAATCAGAGCTGGGGGAGGTGGGGATGGATCAGAAACTACTGGAGGCAGAGGAAGTCAGTGGAAAACACTGGATGCCAGCAAGGGGTGCAGAAGTTGACTTAGCTCTGACCTGGAACCATCAGAGGGATGTCTCAACCTTCTAGACTGCACACGGTAAAGAAGGAGCTTGTACCCTGTCCTGCTGAAGAAGGGGGGTCCTGGAAACAGAAAAAATCCCAAGGCCTTCTAAGTTTCCAGATTATAATTTCCATCTACCCCAATGTCTTTTTCATTCTCTTGCAAATGTTGAGACTTGATGAAAGTGGCTTAGACATGGTAGGGATTTCCTAGTCCTGGGGAGATTAATTTCTGTAGGAAAAGGAAGGACTGAGTGTACCACACCTCAGTAGTGCTGTAGACTCCTGTTCCAGTTGTGAGAAAGTCAACCTTAGAGAGTTATGTGTGGTTGGATACCACTTCACACATCTTTAATCCCAGCATTGGGGAAGCAGAGGGAGGCAGATATTGGTGAGTTTAAGACCATATTGGACTACATAGTAAAGTCCAGGTCATCAGAGCTATGTAGTAAGATCCTATCTCATAAAACAAACAAGCAAAAGACAACATGTTCACCTGCACCATGTATGTATGGGTGATAAATATATGGTAATTGTCTAGCCTGAAGTTTAGGTAGAGGAAGTGGCTAGGGAAGAAGGAAACAAAACCCAGAACTGACATGACAGGGGTGCCTGGACAAATGAGGTACACACAAGAGTGAATCCAACAATACAGGACTTCAGTTGTATTCACTATGGAGATCAATTTATTATGAATATTCAGCCTTTGCTGACCACTCCATGTGGGCATTGCCTGTATCCATATAAGCAAGTCAGACACAGCTGGTTTTTACCACCTGTTAGATGGGCTTCATGTTTCCTTTTATCCATTGCAGGAAAGACATGGCTTGAGCGAGAATTCCTGGAGAGATGCTCTTGGATTTTCCATAGGACACAACTCCATAAGCTCTGTTGTCACACACAAGGGTTGCCCCAGAGTCACCCTGTGGACAGGGAAAGGGAGAACTGAGCCTGTTTCCCCTGGCTCTGCTCTCCCTACCTCCTCATGGGAAGGTTAACTGTTAGGCACAGCCAGGACAGGGTTTCAAATTCTCTCAGTATCAGAGCTTCACAGAGGCCCGACTTTTCCTTCTAGCTCAGTCCCAGGCTTCCCCTGTAGTCCTCAGGGATGCTCTGGGATAGTTTATGTTGTTTTAGGATGACAGATGTTTCCAATTTTCCACTCTTGGTAAACCATGGAGAAACTCAAAGCTGGATTTTGGGATGTCTCTTCTGTGAGCTGAGACTTGAGGGTTTGGCCATCATCGTAACTAGGCCTCTCCAAGGTTCCTCTCTCCCTGCATTCTGTCTGTTAAATAGTTGAATCTTATCTTGAAAAACACCCGTATTTTCTTCAGGTCTCTCACACAAATCTGTGTGGGCCTGGAGTAGTGGAGGAAGTGATGTGTGCACTTCTTGTCATCCTGGATGATCATTTCAGCCTCTTGGAGGATGGCAGTTCCTGCTATGGGCTTGGGAGATGTTACCCACAGCCACTGAGGCGGCACACATGCCCTGGCTTCACCTGGGCATTGACCTTGGGAAGCTTGAGGGTCCTCACAGCTTTAGTCCTGTTGGCTTTCCTCTCCAGCTATTGGGGAAGAGACAGGAGAGAGCAGCTCAGCCAGGAGCCTGCTGGCCTGGGACATTCTGAAAACCAGGATGGCAGGGAGGAAAAGCAGGGAGAGAGCAGGAGGGGAGAGAGAAGACCTGCAGCAAGCAGAGCACAGGAAACAGGGGTGGGGTGGGATGCAATGGGATATGGGTGGGGGAATGCCCATGTGGGAGAGCTATGGTGTGTGTGTGTGGGTGGGTGTTGGTGCGGTGGGGGTGTGGG